AAAAAAAAAAAAAAAAAAAAAAAAAAAAGCACATATGACAGTACTGACCAAATAAAATATTCATGGCGTTTCCACTTAAAATTAGAGATTTAGGACTTGGGGTATAGCTTACTGTTAGAGCCCTTGCATAGCATGACCTTGGTTCTGTCCCCAGCACTGCCAAAACAAAACTGAAGACTGACTTAACCATTGAGTTAGTTATTTTTCTGTAACTGAATTGTATAACCTGTGCAGATGATTGTCATGTTTTTTTTTCCCCCCTTATAGCTTGTAGAGACTTCGTTAAAAGGAGAAATTGCCTTTGATCCCAGAAGCGCCTATTATTTGTGGTTTGTAATGGATTTTTGTGACGGAGGAGATATGAATGAATATCTGCTATCCCGAAAACCCAATCGTAAAACTAACACCAGCTTCATGCTTCAGCTGAGCAGTGCCCTGGCTTTCTTGCATAAAAATCAGATCATCCACCGAGATCTGAAGCCTGATAACATCCTGATTTCTCAAAGCAGGTTGGATACAAGTGACTTGGAACCCACCTTGAAAGTGGCTGATTTTGGTCTAAGTAAAGTTTGTTCAGCCTCTGGGCAGAACCCAGAAGAACCTGTCAGTGTAAACAAGTGTTTCCTTTCCACCGCATGTGGAACTGATTTCTACATGGCTCCTGAAGTGTGGGAAGGGCACTATACAGCAAAAGCTGACATATTTGCTCTGGGGATCATTATCTGGGCAATGCTGGAAAGGATCACATTCATAGACACAGAGACAAAGAAGGAACTCTTGGGGAGTTATGTAAAACAAGGAACTGAGATTGTGCCTGTTGGGGAGGCACTTTTGGAAAATCCCAAAATGGAACTTCTCATTCCTGTGAAAAAAAAGTCTATGAATGGGCGAATGAAACAACTGATTAAGGAAATGCTGGCTGCAAACCCTCAGGATCGCCCAGATGCTTTTGAATTAGAACTCAGATTAGTACAAATTGCATTTAAAGATAGCAGCTGGGAAACGTGACATATTATTTGCAAATATCTTGGATGATATGCTGCTTCTCATTTAACAGTGATGCAACGTTATATGGCTGAAAAAGAATACAAAAAACTAATTCCACATTCTAAGGGTTTAGATTTTATTGTGGGATGTTTTGTTGTTTTTTTTTCCTTTCTGAATTCAAGCCAGCCATTTAATTAGTATGTTTTAAATGTGTATTACCAATGTAAGTGTAAACATTTTTTTTTTAATGACCATTGGTAGAAGTTTGGCAGGAAAATTCTCTTAAGAGCCAAGAAAAGAGTCCAGTTTTCTGAAAATGTCTCTTAAGTATTTTAGACATTCCTTGTCAGTATTAGGCAGTTCCATGGAAGAAGAGGTTTGCGTGCTGGTAATGCAACCTTTGAAGCTTTGTAAAGAAAACATATATGTATATATTTATGTATATGTAAGTATGTGAATGTGTGCATTTTGCATTCCATATGAAGAAAATGCCACTTCTGTTTAAATTATTTGTTATAGGTTTGAGTTTTTGAGATTTGCTGATGAAATCAGTGATAAAAAATAAATAAACTTCCCCTCATCTCCCTCCCTCTCCCTCTCTAATGAGAAATACTAAGGTTTTTTTTTTTTTTTAATAGTATACATTTTCTTGTTTTTGAAGCCATCGCTTTGGAGGGGCTAAAATTATGAATAAATGTAATTGAAATTAAGCAATCCAAAACTGCTGAAGTATGTTTGAGCTCTCAGGTGCCCTACAGCTGTTTAAAAGACTTACATATGCAATCATATGTAGTGGATTGGCAAGGACACTGATAATTCAGTCACACCTTTAAGTAAATGAGCATTTGTTTTTAAACCACTGCATTGGAACATGTCTACTTCTTTTTTTTAGTTTTCTGAGACTGCGTAATCCAGGCTGGTCTCCAATTCATGGCAATCTTCCTGCCTCAGTCTCCAGAGTGCTGGGATTATAGGCATGCACTACCATGCCTGGCTGACATGTCTGTGCTTAAGCATTGGTAATCTGATAAAAATCTGAACACAGGATTCTTCTGTTTCTGAAAACTTTGCTATTAATGAACCTTAATACTTGACATATTAATTTTTATTTTAAGACTCTGTTTAAGCCTCAGCATAAAGTTGAAGAAACCAAATGAATTCTGCCCCCATGTTTCTTGCCCTGGTCTTGTCTCTTGTTGAATCACTGGAGTTCCTTTCATTTTGGCACTGATGATGTTTTTTCCTGTCCCTTTGAGACAGTAATGGTAGTAATGATAGTTGTCTTAACTATTATCACCTTTTTTCAAAGTGGAAGATGATACACATACAGCTTGGCAAGTGGATAAAATACTGTAGCATCAACTACTTTTCCAATAGAGAAGTTACTGATTTTATACAATCACTTGGTGTGATCTATGACAAAAACCAAGAGACTACCGTTCCTCTTGACGTTAGTTCAATTTTAACTGTATGGTTGTCTTCAGTTTTTCTGTAAGTGCAGATAGTTAAAATCTAAGGAAAGAATGCTTCCTGAAAGAGAACGTTAGCCTTTGAGGTTAAATAGACTTTACATTGTATCTAGGTTAACCTTTCTAAAGCACTAGAATCTTTCCAAAGCACTACAGTTCAAAAAGTCAAAATGGCACTAGAATACTGAAATTATTGATAGTTTCTATAGTCTCCTTGGGTGGTTTTGCTTTTAACTTCTACAACTTTTAGAATATTTCTATCATTTATTCCCCATTTAAAATATGTTCAGATAATTGAAGGTAAAACATCACAAAAAATTCTAGATAGTGTATTACTTAATCTGGAAGTTTAAGACTTAGACTGAAAGATTTCTATTTTTGGTACCAGGGATCGAACTCTGGATCTTGTGCTTATGAGGTAGCCAGTGGAACCACTGAGCTGAATCCCCAGCCCTGAAAGATTTTATTAGAATAAAACCTTAAAATCAAAAAAGTCATAATCATATTATTTTCAAGCTATTAAATATAAGAATTATTTTGGAAAGTAAAAATGGCAATACACTGGAATTTCATGGTAATTGACTCTGATTCACCAAATTAGTTTAACAGATCTGACGGAGGGGATTGAGTTGCTGGAAGTAAGAAAAAAGCACTTCGATGTCATGAATAGCGCGGCACCTCAGCAGATAGGTAGGTAATATCTTGCCAGCACTTCATTTGCTCTTAATATATCTATGTACTTGGAGCCACAGTTTCCTAAGTACATGGTTTTTGGTCCAGCCTCATTTAAAATAGTTAATGATTATAATTTATTTTTTGTTTTGTTTTGTTTTTGTGGTGCTTGGTCTCGTACATATTACACAGACACTTTACCACTGAGCTATATCCTAGTCCTGATTATAGTTTATTTTGAAAGATTTTACTTGTGAAGTAGAATTTTTTTTCTTTTGTTGGGGATAAGGGTATAAGGTGATCAGGAAGTTTCTTCTGGAATTTTCTCAAGTCCTTGTATTCTAAAATAGCCAAACAAAATGATAAATTCTTTGTCTTCCTTTGCTCTTTTAGTCAAAGATATTTATTAAGTACCTACTGTGTGCTCAGCACTAAAGATTAATTGATAAAAATGTTAATCTTAAAATGGCATTTAGCCACAGGTCTTTCCTAGCCAAGAATAAAAAATAAAAGATGATTGGTGATACTTGGAAATTCCCAGATATTTGTTAGAGGAAAAATGAAATTGAGAATTAGTACACAGTGCCTTGCCCATAATAGGTACTCAATAAATTATTCCTCATAGTCTCTTGCCATGGCTTATATAGTGTTTTATGAAATTTGTCTTAATTAAAAAAGACCAAATATTCAAATAAGCTTATAGGCAGCTGTGTCCAGTTAAAATATAGGGTTTGTACAGTTAGTTCCTAGAATGTTATTTTGAACTAGTTGTCCCTTATAAAGATGGGGTTCCTGTAGATTTGTGGTGCTAAGGGATACTTTGTCATTATGATGAAGTAAATGTTGTGCCAGATAAATAGCACACAGAATAGTTCTTTCTGCTGGTCTGGTTTTATTTCTTTGTTGTTGTTTTTAATTGTAAAATGTTACCAAACTATTGTAGCAGCTACAAAATAATTCACCAGCATGACAAAATGGTCAAAACATGAGTCATCAGCACTTCAGAAATGAAAGCAACTTTTGAAATTTTCTTTTAAAATTGTCAAATATATTTTATGAAGAATTTATAAAAGGGGAAATGATTGTAATTTATTGTTCATGACAGTTTCTTTTTTCTTTTTTCTTTCTTTCTTTTCTTTTTTTTTTTTTTTAATAAATTTTCTTTTTTTTTTTTTTTTTTTTAATAAAGTGAGTTTCAACAAAAAAAAATCCTGAAAATTTTATTTTGCTGCTTTGGTGCCTCTGTGAGTGTACTGTAGTGCTTTATTTCATGAGCATAAAATAGAGGGTATGAATTGAAATAATGTATTTTTCAGGCTTATCAATGATTCTCTGAAATAGAAGCTACTGCTGAGGAAAAGATTGAATTATAGGAGTTAACAGTATTTCAAGTTCTCTAAAATTTTAATTCTCACTGTCTTGCTATATTTGCTTCTACACAAGGAAAACATTGCTTGAGTTAGATCATTTTTTATTTACCCTTCTACTCCATTGAGCTGAGTATGCATTCCAGACTCAATAAAGTACATTAAATATACTGAGATAATTTTTTTTTTTTTTTTTTTTTTTTTTTTGTATCTGGGGTCAAACTCAGGACCTGCGCTTTTGAGGCAGGTAACAAAACCACTGAGCTAAATCCCTGGCCCTTAAATACACTTAAGAGGATGCATTGTTTCAATTGATAATGTGAGGCCGTGGTTTCTTTTCTAGAATGAAGTCATATGTGTGACCCACTATATTCTTTTCCTTTATAGACTTTGTTAACACATGCCTGAGGGTATAGTCTATTTAGAGGTTCCATAGGGCAGCAGGGAAATACTGTGAGAGAGGAATCCCTGTCTCTACCGGATCCAATGACTAGGAGAGTAGGCAGCAGGAGTTGTGGCCGCTTCCATCACGGCCACCTGCTCCTTGGTATAGCTTTTGTGGGCAGGCAAATTTTGCTTTCTATTTAAAGATTGAATCTTTTAAATATTTGTAGTTACTAACTTTTTTTTTTTTGCAATCCTTTGCAGTTTATAAAGCAGTTTTACATCTTTTCATATATCTTTTACTTAAAATAGGGACTGGTTCCTTCATAAAGCAATTAGTAGAATACCAGTTACTAAGGTAAGGATAATGGTTTTACCCTAGTAGAGGATATTAGTGCCTAATCTGACTCCAGTTGGAGTTTTCTCTGACAACAAAGCTTTATCTTTCTCACTGAAGTAACCCTTGGTTGTTTTGGTTTCTTTTTAAAATTCAAATGTTGCTCTCTTGGTCAGCCAATCAGAGACATCCTCTAAATTGCCGTGTAATGACAGACGGTTTGTGGTTAGATATAACTCTTCCTTGAGAAAACCTTCAAGAAGGCCACACCTCTAAGGTAAAGTGCATCTTTTAAAGGCGGTACTTTCACCTTACAATGAGTTTTAATTGGTTAGAAGGGAACTGTTTAAAAAAAAAAAAAAGCTTGGGTTTTGGACTTCACTTGCATTTCCTGTTCAGTCTGGTATTTCAAGCTTAGCTTGTTTGGAGCAAAAGTTGAGCAAGATGGGTCAGGGATCTAGCTCAGTGGTGCCATCGCCTGCTCACAAGCGCAAGATCCGGAGTTCAATCTCCAGTACAAAAAAAAGAAACCACACAGTTGGGCAAGTTCATAATACAGCAGACATCATAGTCTAGCGGCAAGAGCATAGGCTTTGTGGTAGCAGATCTGATGTGAATACTAGCTTTTGCAAATGTGCATCATTGGGCAGGTCACTGCACTCCAAGCCTCAGTTCTCATAGCTACAAAACAGGAAAGAAGATGTTTACATTTCAATTTTTGGAAGGATCAGTGATAGTACAGTGAAGTGCCTAGAATGGCACCTGGTACATTAAACTGTCAAATGGTGGCAAAGCTGCTGTATTCTGGGGGTTTTTTGTTTTGTTTTGTTTTTTTGGTAACGGGGATTGAACTCAGGATCTTGGTCTTGCAAGGCAGGTGGCGGAACCACTGAGCTAAATCCCCAGCCCCTGGTTTTTATGATATAATGAATGGATGGATTCTCCATGATCCATTCTTCAGTTGTAGCTTTGCTTCTCCTCCCCTGTGGGAGAACCTGATAAAGGCTCTACCTCTTCTCAGGAAAATGTTTACTATTTGAGGGGTTTTATGGATCTCAGAAGCCCACATAGACCCCAAAGTTAAAGGACCTTGAATTGAGTTTTAGGCTCTGCTAGTAAGTACCTCTATACTTGGGCTCCTAAGTCAAAAGATGCCCTATGTGAGGAGATTCTAGGAGAACCTGTATTGTTTTATTTTTCTATTTAGTGTTGGTTAAATAGTTATGTTATTTTATGTAAATTTATCAAGCTACATGGTCTGTGTATGTGTGTGTGTGTATGTGTGTGCATGCACAGCTGGGGGTGAAACCCATGGTCTTGTGCATGCTAAGCAAGGGCTCTACCACTGAGCTACATCCCATCCAGTTTTAAGTGTAAACTTAAAATGTTTACACTTTTCAAGCCCGGGATGTAGCTCATTGGTGCTGCTATCTGCCTCATAAGCACAAGATCCTGAGTTCAATCCCTGGTACAAAAAAAAAAATGTTTACACTTTTCTGTCAGTATATTATATACTTCAATAAGAAATTAAATATGGCCAGGCATGGTGCCACATGCCTGTAATCCCAGCACTCAGGAGGCTGACGCGAAAAGGTTGCCATGAGTTCGAGGCCAGCCTGGGCTATCTAGTGAGTTCAAGGCCAGCCTGAACTGCATAGCAAGACCCTATCTCTAAACACAAAAACAAAAGATTTAAATATGGGAGTAGGGGTATAGCTCAGTGGTAGAGCACTTTGCCTAGAATGGACAGGGCTCTGGGTTTCATCCCAGCACTGCACAAAAACAAAAACAAAAAATAAATAAATGTACATTGAGGTTGAGGACTATGGTGAAAGATGTTGCCAGAGGCAGAAGGAAAGAGCACAGATTTTGAAATCAGACACTTAGCTGGGCCTATATTCCAGCATCTGGGGGACTGAGGCAAGAGGCTCACGAGTTCAAGCCCAACCTGAGCAACTTAGTGACTTAGCAAGACCCTGCCTCAAAATTTGAAAAGAGGCTAAGGGTGAGGCTTAGTGTAAATCTCCTGGATTCAATCAACAGTGCCACAAAAGAAGGAAGGAAAGGAGGGAGGGAGAGAGGAAGGCAAAAAAGAAAAAGAAGGAAAAATAGCAGGCCTTTTACCTTTCTACTAGCTATGCACCTTTATGAGTTCCCTAACTTCTCAGATCCATGGATTCTCACATGTTAAATAGCAATGGTCCCTGATTCAGAACATTATGACAATGAAGCATGACATATTCAGCAGATGTCATTGCTCCCATTCCCAGAGGATGGGCAGGAAATGACCCACAGCTGCCTTTACTGCCAGTCTGTACTGCTGATAGCAGGTTTATGTGTTTTCTGTTTAATGTAGCTTACATTTTTGCCACAATTAGAGAATAATTTTATATTTCATTACTATAATGTCCTGCCCATTTCCTTGCCTTACAGCCCTCCACAAGTACAATTCTCAAATAACAACGTCCTTAGCCCAGTTTTTTTCTTGTTTGTATTTGCTGATCTTGTGGTTGACAGTAACTCAGAATGTGTGCTGTCTTTGGCAGATACACATGCCTGGGAATTGGGAGAATCCTAGTAAGTGCCAAATACTAGGACAGTTTCCTGTTTCTCCTTGCTTCGGGAAAGGCAGGGATACTGTGATAGGAGAGGTGACAGCGTGCAATGATGGCTGAACTCTGATAACTAGATCTAGATTGCGGTGGTTCTCATCTCTGTTGGGAAAGATTTTCTTTTTAAGAAAAGATGACTTCTGCTTCTGGCCATTATGGAGTAACAGGGCCTCGATTTCTCTTCCTGTCTTAAACAACTAAAATGCTAAACCCTAGACAACTGGCAGCACAAGACAGTGATCTCTGGAGGAAGGGAATCCAGTGAGGTGAGAGCACTGTGACTGCCCGGGGGTGCTTCCAGGAGGGAATCT